GAATCTGTTGCGGATTGCCAAAAAGAAAACGATGCATTAATGTGTCTGTCTCTTCTTGTTGGTTGGTCCAGATGCATTTGAATGTCTCACAGAAAGTGATTTACCTGCCTGCTCACTCCCTCTCTCTCTGCTGAATGACTGATGGGGCTTCAGGTCGTTCTGAAGAACAATCAGCCGTCCAACAGAAATTATTTCCCTAACTTCTGCTCCGCTATGAATCACGGAGATTTGATGACCCGTCTTCAGCGACAGGTTAATGTATTTCCTCCACAACAAACTGCATTTGAACTAAACAAAAATAGCTGCTGCTGTCAACAAGAATGACATTTGATTTTTAAAGATCCACAAAAGAAAACAAGGCCGACAGAATTTAAACATGGCAGCTCATTTAAAATTCTGCTGCAGGCGAAAACCCAGAACCGAGAACAGAGGGCATGTCGGGCAGGATGTTGTGCTCGGGCTTCCTGTAACATTTACAATTGATTCTAAGGTTTTCCTTCTTATAAAAAAAAGGCCTTAATCTTTGGGACTAAGCTCTATTGCTCACTCCTTTGTTTTCACTGTTTGCCTTCAAGAACATTGCGATCATCTGCTTTGGGATTTTTTCAGCAACAGCCGAGCAAAAATCGGAGAAGCAGCCTTTGTCAATGATGTCCCAAAACTATAGAGCACAACACCCTACCTATAGATATCAGAAAAACCAGCTTCCTAAATATTTAAAGAGAAATTGAACTCTATTGACTTCACTATTCAACTAGCTGAGGCTTTTTCTTCTTTTTTTGCACTTTGCTTAGCATTGAAGCTCTGCTGCAATTACTTTTGTTATTTATTATTAATTATTAAGTTATAATCAGAGTTGGGTGTAACGCGTTACAAAGTAACTGTTATCCACTGCTGCAAACACCACGTCAAACCTCAACAAACACCTGCAAAGAACACATGCTAAGGTGAAGCTAATAGCTAAGGACCCCCGAACCCAGAGTGAGGATGTTGTGAGTGCGCCGCCGACGACTCCGAAGCAGCAACAATTACCGGTAACCAAAGCAGAGATGGACAGGCTTGTAGCATCCTTCATAGTAGAGAAAATGTTGCCCATTTACACAGTGGAATCACCATCGCATCGTTCAGAGATATACTGCGCAAAATACAGATAGCAGGAGACAGAGGACAGCCATAGTCAGAGCTATCTGGATCAGTCTTATGCGACTGAACTAAAGAGAACATTTGAAACTTTAGCAGTCTGCGTGATCTGCCTGTAGGGAGGGGTGGGCCGGCCCTGCGAGTAAAGTAACGAGTAAAGTAACAAGTTACTTTATGTAGAGAGCAACGAAGTAGTGTAATATATCACTTTTTTTTAAAGTAATATGTAATATGTAATCTATTACTTTTTTGTAGTAACGACCCCATCTCTGGTTATAATGTACCTGTTTTTATCATTACTATCACGATTTTCATACTGAGAATATTAATGTATTGTTACTTTCATTACCAAGTAGTTTTTCCCATAAATAAATGGCATTATATCCCTCATTTTAAGTTCATTTGGTCTATTTTAATGTAAAACAGTCATTTAAATTATGTAGTGCATGTGTATTTCTCATTCGAGAGTCAGAGATAAATGATACAGTCTATAAAATGCCTTTTTTCTTATGTTTACATGCCATTTGTACTTGTACACTGAACAGTATGATCTGTCTTATTTTGTAGAATACAACATCTGGTGGATTTGTTCAATGATGCATCACAGATAGTAAGTGTGTTGCATACTGTAGCTTGATTGATCTTCAGTACACTTGAAGGCCCAGGACTCCCACACAGGAAGTACATGACGTAACCAAACTCTATGTCCTTATTCAAATGATCACATTGTCAGTCGTCCCATTATAATGAGAGAATACATACCCATACAAATATATATTCCCATGGCAACAGGGCCGACTTTTGCTACTTCCTTTTTTGTTGGTGTAAACAACAAGAATGATCACAGACATTTAGATGTCTTTAGATTTGGTTATTTTATCTCAACATAATGACTAGAAGATAACAACCCCCCCAGAGGTGTTTACATCTCTATTCTGGGCTATACTTTATTCTCTCATATCTGTGAACAAATGTTCATTTCAGCTTCTGGGAAAAGAGAATATAATTCATTATTGTATCTCAGCACATGGCCATCAAACTGACAGGCTGTATAGTGCCTCATTAATCACACATCCTGCAGCACTATCTAGACTTTAACAAACAATTCTGCTGATTAATGATATATCAAAACCTAAAGCTTAGATTTCAAAGAATTGTGTTAGACGTTATTGTCTATGTGTCTTAACTGACATCCCTGAATCAATTTAGATCAGGTAAGGAATACAGATGAAGCAAAGGACTCTTAAGATGAGAATCTAGAGGATCTGTAGAGCCAACACTGAAACGTCCACAGCTTTTCTCCCGCGCTCTCTCTCTTTCCCTCATAAATATTAACCAGAGAACTGCAGTAGAAACACAGGCCATCAATAATGCAGCTCCCTAAAACGCTTCTACCCAAATAATTGCAGCTACAAGCGAAGTCCTGGAGACAGCCTTTTAGGTGTGTTGCATCGGTAGTGCCACTGCCTAATTTCTTACTAAATAACAATTTTATGTGAAGAGCAGAAGCAGAACAGAAGATATTACTTTATTTGCGTCTCTATAGGCTATAACGTGGCTGTGATGTATGCATCTACACTCGTTAGGCACCTAAGGAGAATGAATGTGACCTTCAATAAGATGGGTCAACCATGAATAATGACCAGGAGAAATAGAAGCTGTAGATGTACAATTAAACAAAAATAAATGAAGGCACCGTATCGCACAGCACTGTGTTAAGTTGGTTAAATTGTGGTCAAGCATTTTCTGTAATAAGCAATTAACCTTTTTGTCTATGGCCGTAGAAACATCAGATATGCAGCTGTTAGCAACATAATCAACTTCAACACTTTAGTAACACTGGGAAAGGCAATTAAACACTCCTAGGAGAAAAAGAGCTGGAGGACAGAGACGTAAGCAGAGACGTAAGCACAGAAGTAATGTGTAAATAACAAATATTTTATGAATGTGCTTTCCTCCCGACATTAACGGTGCGTCCACGCGGTTCCATCGCGTTGAAGCTTAGCGGTGGGCGTGTCTGGTGCGCGACCAACGACCAATCATATTCATCTCCCGCCCCCGGACACACAAGCACGCGGTTTGATTGGCTAGAGCTTGTACTGGCATATGATTTGATTGGCTGGCGCTTCCGTCGCCGCTTGAAAAGTTGAACTTTTCTCAACTTTCGAAGTGAGCAACGGAGGCAAAGCGACGCGACGGAACCACAATGCAGTTCGGCAAAGCTTGACGTCACCCCATTCAAAGTGAATGGGAAGCATCTCCGTTGAAGCACGCGACGGAACCGTGTGGACGTTATGTAAGGCTTAAATGTCCTAATTTATTCTCATCGCATTAGGTCTCAATAACAAACCCAAACCACATCGACTGCAGTGATTCATTAGAAACTACATGTGTGTGTAATTGATGCAGTTTACATACATTTGTCACAAGTTATTGATCCCCTGGCAGAATGTTGATTGATCGCCAATGGTTTAAATGCACAGGCACACCTTAATGCTGCATAAAATGTACTATTTGCTAAAATAATTGAAGGTTATTGATAATCAGACCCAGGACAAAATGTCCCATATGACCCCTGACCCCTGATCTATGACCTTTCTCCAAAAGCATTGACCCTTAAAACCTCAGCTTGGCCTTTGTTCTGCCTACACATGAATATGGATCTCGCAGAGTTCGAGAAGTCGGGACTAGCAAAAGGTATAACATTTATTCTGGTCATTTTTATTTCAAGACATCCAGGATATGGAATTCTGATGGTGCATCTGTATAATAACTGTTCACATTTAAAAACAGGAATGGCCTTTGATTTTCTGCAAGGCCTTAGATAGAGCAGATGGAGCTCAGTGCTCAAAACAAGCTTTGGAAAAAAGACAACTGCCGAAGAGAAGCTTTGAAAGCCAAAAATGTGAGACTACATTTCCAATGGTTCCAAATTACACCACAAAAGAGGGTCGCTTGAGCACGTCATCTAATATTTACTTCAATTCAACCCATGGTTCTTTGGCCTGGACAACGAATCAATGTTCCAGACTGAACGCCGTCAACAACAACAACAACAACAACTTTGAACCAACTGCGATGTGTTACAGCTCAATGACACCCTAGGGTTTATGTTGCTGAATTTCTTAAAGTCTCGTAACTAAGAAAGTCACTTTGATATGTTCTGCCAATGCCACATCTACTTTATTTTACAATTTTTCTTCAGCACTTTAATCAGCGGCAACATCCTTCACTGATCCTGATCATGGCTCCTTTGTGGCCAATGTGTCCTTGCGTCTCTTTGCCACACACACACACACACACACACACACACAGACACACGCACACAACAAAAACAGTGCACAGCCATTTTCTGACAGACCCATTCTCCCTTCACACAGCTGAGAGGAAAGATGAGCTGCCAACTACTCCTGGGGCAGAAGGGGAAAACATGCACACACACAGAAACACACACACACACACACACACACACACACACTCACACACTCTCACACACAGCTGAGCACATATAACAAGGATTCAGCAACCTCTGTCACAACTGGCTGACTTGACGCATACGGATATTCCCAGTTCACTTTCAGTCGGGGAGCTTCAACCAAAACCACTGGGCCTGACAGGAAAACTCATCTTGGCTTTGAGAGCATTGAATCCAGAGTTCAGCACAAACAAGGAAAGAAAACCCACAAAGGGAACTAGCTGTTGCTTTATCTAGAATTCACTGCACAGTCGAGTACATCTGGTAAATGTTATGCCAACATATGCATGTCTCGCTTCCCCTTATTCCACAGCGACACAGCATCTGTGTTCAGCTGCTGACCTCTGACCTCTCCCCGCTCAGCCCCGACCCCGCAGTGACTCACCGATCTCGCAGCTCTCTCCAGAGTAGCCCTGAGGACAGTAGCAGCTATAGCCATCCCCCTCCTGCAGGCAGCTCCCTCCATGGAGACACGGGTTGGTCTGGCATGGGTTATTCTCCACTGTAAAGACAGACAGAGTGGGACAAATGTGAATTTATAATTGATTTCGTACGGGGAAAGAGCATTACCAAAGTGCCTCAAATGTTGACAAACTATGACAGGCAGTGAGCCAGCATTATGCTCTTCAATATCCTGACTGAGCTCATCCTCGAACAGAAAAAGAGTAGAATGGGCAGACTGTACGTAGAGACACGTCCGGGACTCGATGACTTTCTAAAAGGTGACAGATTGGATGTTTTTACGTATGTTGTGCCAGTTTATCATGACGGATGCTCGCCAGGCGAAGGACAGGGTGCTGACTCGACAACCTCCAGCCTCTCATCCCAGGTCCCCCGATGAGCCAAGACTCTCATAAACTAGCTAGTCATCACCCAGCCGTGCATACTGGCATGGGCATCTATTTTTATGGCACATAACAGCGTTGCAAAAGAGGTAATAAACATATTTTACGTTGCTGGGCTATAACTCTATGCCTTGGTGGGAAACATTTTGCAGGATGAAGGCGGAGATTGAGGAGATTAAGTCGTAATTATTGCTCTTATATTTTAGGATGGGACGGAGGGAGGAAGAGAATTTGACAAGGACGGTTAGACCGCAGAGCGGACGTCAGGAATTTCTATTCTATGTGCAAAAAGGACTGTAGGGAACTGGCTAGATTAAGTGTCTTTTTATTATCCATCCTGATAGGATTGCAGCCCCTGACACAATCTGCCAGGCCATCTAATACACTGCATCTTCTCCATAATAACACCCAGACTCACTTAATGATGTATGAGCAGAGGTTTGCTTTGAAGAACACAGAGTGCAGTTCCCCTGAAAGTCTGGGAACATTTCTACTTGTACATTGTTTATGCATGTGTGGACATTTGCAATCATATGTGTGTACAATTGTGGATGTCTGTGTGACCCTGACTCATTGCAACGCTGGAGAGAAATACATTGACGTGGGTGTGTGCTCAATTTCCTGTGAGGCTGCCTTTGAAATGACATACTGTAAAAGGGATTCGCTGAATGAGAAAAGTCATTAGAGACAGGCTCTTTTCTAAAATCAACAGCAGAAAGGAGAAAGAAAAACACCCTGTGTGTGATTTGAAAACATCATAGCTTAAAGGGTAATCATGGAGATGGTAAAAAAGTGCTGAGTGGTGAATGACACACAAGATATGTTCAAAGGTTGGGTTTCGAAATGGAAGGTAATGGAGGGGGGGAAATGGAGGAAAGAGGTGAAGGAAAGAAGCTGCTTGAGTCATTATCCATCCATCCGTCCATCCATCCATCCATCCATCCATCTATCAATCCGTCCATCCATCCATCCATCTATCAATCCGTCCATCCATCCATCCATCTGTCCATCCATCCATCCATCCATCTATCAATCCGTCCATCCATCCATCCATCCATCCATCCATCCATCTATCAATCCATCTGTCCATCCATCAAGAGAGTAATTTATCATTTCAATAGCTAACATTTAAAAGTATTTTGCCCAACACTGTAAACAACGATAAATCAAAATGTTAATCTGTTTCCAGCAGTGTAGAAAATATTAAAAAAGACTAATATCGTTGCTTCAGATTGCTTGCTTTGCGTTGTTCTATCATGCTTAAATGATTAGTTTGCTGTTGCTACATGTTAACAACCCAACAATGTGCCATATTCAGTCCATGCATCAAGCAGGCAGGATGAAAGCATGTCACCGACAGCTCCTTCAGTGTGTTTTCATGAGGGAAAATAGGGTAATGTGGGAGTTTATCAGCTGAACCTGAATCTACTTTACTCTGCTGCTGTCAACAGCAACTGTTCAGTTAAGTTATGTGATATGAAAAGCTATTGTGTTGGCCTACGCTCACTCTCGATGACATATATAAAAATGTCAAAATGCAACCATTTTGGAAAATAAGCTTTTCAAGGTGGCTTCACGTTTACACAGAAATGGCTCACAGTACCTTCAATTTCATGCGGTCGCTTTCTCTAATCCACTGTGAAATGTAATGTCTTTGTGACATGAACTCGCGAAATTGCCATCATCAGGTGACATTTAATGGCATTTAAATAGTATATGATTGTGTTTGTGTGTGGCATTTAATACATTATAAGCCTAAAATACAGAATATCATTCTAGAAATTAGGCATGAGTATATGTAATGCAAGCAATGATGTAGGAAAAGGGGGAACTAGATAAAAGGTTAAGCCGATTAACATTACTGCTGTTTCTAAACCAGAAATAGACTACATTTTGATTATTCAGAATTAATTGTCTGAGTTTTAAGTATTTTCTTAAACAATAGATTTAAAAATATGACATAGTTTACGCAAAAAAAGTGGCCCTGATAGTAAAATAAGTCTGAAGTATTCATCCTCTGGGGATACAACATGTTAGGGCCATCCATCAGGTGGACATTAATGTTGAGATAATATTCGCACACTAAGTCTGACATGTGGGTATCTCTGCTTGCAGTTTTGGTTTTACATTTCAGCTCTGCCACAGCACAGGTGGATATGTATCTGCTGCAGTGGTGCACACAGTGTGACTGACAGCTGAGGGCGGGTCATCAAGTCGCCTTAGATAGGGGGGCTTCAGCAGCGAAAAGGCCAAACTTCTTAAGACCACTGCGAGTCAGTCACACCACAGAGGGTAATACTGCAGCTCGGGCTTAATGCTTTATAGTTTGTCGACGTGAAAAATGAGAGTGACATATCTTAAAACATAATCAATAAGCTCCTTAGGATTTAAGTGGATGGCATCACCATCTGATAGGACCATTAGAGCATAGCTAGTGTGTGACAACTGTGTTTACTTGTGTGTGTGGGCATGCATGTGTTTAACGCCATCTAATCCTTTAGGTCTATTTCTATTGGTCCACTTTCTTAACAAAATAAACAATTTATTTATATAAGTTAAACAGTTCCAGTAAATTGCCCTACTAAAGAGATAAAAAGGACTTTTCCTCCAGTAGAATCTGCTAGCGCTGATAAATTGTGGCTGTGCTGTCTGTGGTTATACAGACTGAGAGTGGCGCTGCAGCAGAATAGCACATTGATCCAATCTGCAGACAATTAGTTACGACTTATTACACACAAATGAGACTGTGTTCTTCACCATCTGTCCACAAACATGAGCCTGCAATCTTAGTGGTGTCCTCACATGTACAGTAGACGGAAACGTAATGCATGAATGGATCAAGACACGCTCGAATCAGCCCTGAACATGTAGCACGTAACTTAAAATGAAATGTGAGCGCTTTAGTGTTTAAATATTCACGTCAGGGCTTTAGATGACATTTTGCGTTTTCATAATTAGGAGGGTGCGTGTGTGTGCAAAGATGTGAAACAAAAAATGAATATGCAAGTGAAGAACAGATTAAAAATGCGACAGAGAGGAGGGAGGAAGAACAGAGAGACCCTGGTATTAGGCAGGGAGACAAATTAAAATGTAGTATAGAGTAGCACAAGAAAAATATCAGCTAGGGAGCTATCATACATTTCCTCCTCTCTTAATGCATGCTGCTAGCTTATGATTAATTACACACTGGTCTTAAAATAGGTCTCCTCTTCTATGCAGACTGTGTGTCTTTCTGTGAAAGACAGAAATGAAAAGAGAAAGAGAAGAAGGAGGGAAGAACAGTCTCTGTAGCGCTACAGTTTATTATAGACACAAAAGAGAGATATATTAGGTCTTACAATAGTTCAGCTGTCAGTTCCTTTGCAGGCATATCTATCAAATAGATCATATAAGGTCTTTTCCCCTGACATTGAACAGATACTACAACGTCTCTTCAATCCTGTGCACTATTTCTTAAAATATGTTCCTCCGTGTGACATTTCACAGCTCCATGGGATCAGCTGAAGTTTTCCTAAGCCTCTTTCCTAAGAGATTATCTTAGCCTTTTGCCACATTTGGGAAGATACTCCCTGATGTCAAACTCACACATGCACCCGGGATTTAGAACGGGCAATGAAAGAGGATTGGGGATAAGGAAAATGTTACGAATCCCATGAAGTACCAAGCTGAGTGGTTAGCAAATTCAACATAATGGAAGCCTGCAGAAAAGGTTATGCTGACAGAAACACTGAACTCTGCACAGATAAACGTGTTAAACACACACACGATTGGAGCAAAACTGCACTCGCACACACTTGCATTTACTGTATATACACCTGCTTATCAACCGCCGCGATGCTGTGCTTGGACTCACTGAACCTTGTAATAGCTTTGCCGAGAAAGAGATCATGCAATGGCCTGTTTAAGTGTTCCCCTCCATGAGCGTGATAAGACTTCACCTGTGCCCAGAGCTGCTCCGCTAAAATGTTTCCCTCTAAGGTGCTGAGGCACACAGCACGGTTAGAGCCATATGGATAGCTGTACTAAACTGCAAAGCATGGACTTAATACAGTCCCTGTCATCATCACTTTGACGTAGTGTGAAATATTCATATTGTCACTTGCATGATGACTGCAGTGAACATGTGTTTTATGCGTTGAGCAAGGCATACATAATACATCAGTGTAAGTGGCTCTGTCAATGCTGAATGTCACCTACGCCTGGTCCAACTACACATCTGGGGTAAGCCTAAATTAAAATGTTCTGCAGACAGTTCATAATTATGCATAATCATTATTCATCGTTTTGATGGTGATGTACTCGCGAAAGAAAATACAGAAAACAGCGACATTGCTACAGCAGGGTAGCAGATAGTATTCATGCAAACAGGAAATGATGGCGAGTGTACCAGAGATGTTACGGTAATGTGGCACTGTGTATGGTTAAAGAAATGATGATACAAGTACAACCAGTACCAGTACCCATAAAGTGATAATGCAAAACAATAGGGTATTATTTTAGATTTGATACCTGTCATGCCACTATACTATGCAATGCAGTCTTTACTTCCAACTCCATGCAATACACAGCACTCAACTAAACCACACAACAGCCTGCATTGGTTATAGCTGCTGTGGTTGCGGGTCGATCATGTGACTCATTAAATAGAATAACACTT